GATATGTATATGTTGAGGCGCATCTGTTCTCTGTCTAGGTCTCTGTCTTGCGAAGTTCGCCATGCCATTGCACGTCTCTAGAAGGGGCCCTAGTCAGCTGCTAGCTTCCTGGAACAGAAACCTCCTGGAATCTCCTGAGGTGCCCAAACCACGTAAAATACATTTAGTCCTCTAGCCGTCCGGAGATACGTGGACGAAAATTATACCCTAACTTTCTTATTTTAAATGCAAACCCCTAATTTCTTTAGCATGGTTCCATTGGCCTTCCAATTGCGATTTTGAGAAACAGCAGTTTTGTTAACTTATCTCTTATATTTTTTATATACATATCTCAATTGTTTAAGAACATTTTGAAATGCTATTACCTACAGTTGTTTACGGAACAAGGTATATCTAAGGCACTGTTATATTAAAACATCTAAGAGATAAGTTAACAAATCTAAGGTTACTCAAACTCTTAATTGGAAGGTCAGTCCAACCATTCTAAATAAATTAAAGATTTGCCTTTAAAATAAGAAAGTTAGGTTATAGTTTTCTTGCGCCCTGTATAGCTTACAGCTAAATGTATTTTCCATGGTTTCCACACTATTCGCTATCACCGGAAACACAATTTCAAGTTTCTAAAACAACTGCAAGTTCGAAAAACTTAGTATACTGGTCTACGCAAATTACCCTGTATATAGCAAACTAGGTTTTTTCGGACATTAGATGCGTGGTTAATATGATGTGCCTTCCTCATGAATCTCCTTGTATAAAGGAAACTAAGTCTACTGATAAATTAGTAAGTTTTATTTCATGAAGAAACTGCGAATTTCCTCAGACGCACTGAAATAAATGTAAAATAAAGAGTTAATGCATGAAAATGGTTTTGCAGTTTTCGTTTGTATGTTTCCATGTTCCAGATTTTCTTCAAAAATAAATAGTTACTTCCAATCCTTGAACAGTTTATATTATTTCAAATCTTAGCGTTGTATATGCTCCATGAGTTCTCTAATTCAGAAAAAAACTAAAAAAATAAAATTGATAACGTTTAGCGTGCAAACAGGTTTGAGTGGAAGTAAAATTCGACAACGAATAAACATGGACGTGAAAGAAGCAATTGAAATTGTATTTTTAATATTAGCAATATGTTTAGTAGCAATAATTATTCTTATGGTTTGTCTTTGCATATGTGATCGCAATCGACAAGTAGTTCGAGCAATTTTTCATTGGTTGACATGTGGTGTATGTGCTGGATCAAGAGTTTATCCTGAACCAGGGAATAATAATGGCTAATTGCTTTTCCAAGATATTTAGATATATAATACTTTTCATGGACAAAATGGGCTTTCAGAAGGTATGTGCGATTTGAAATCTTCCAAATTTAATCTAGTTCAGTTCGTATATTTTTTATGTAAACTGTCATTTTCAATCACATTTGTCACAAGTTAATCTACAGGTAATTTTCTAGTGAGTCAAAAAATAGTTATAAGTATACCGTTACCAAAAAATAACTGGATTTTAAATTAATAATTTTATCAAAATAATTCGATAATATGCTTAAAGGTCTCTACACTACAGGTCAATAAGCTTTTCACCAGCAAATTTGACAAATCGAGCAATTTATTAGTAATTATAATATTTTTATGTAAGTATTATATTGAAAAATACGTTGCAGTATGAACAGATTATCTGAAATTACTAATTATACGATTTTTAAATTTTATAGGTGCTGTGATACTTTACACTAAATATTCGATCACCGATTATACATTTTTATTGGTCCGAATACAATATTATTGCTTTATCGCTTAGTTTGTAAAACATTCGTGCCCTTTTGTGATAAATAGAAGATCATTGATTAATTTTTCGAAATTTTTGATTTGATTGATAGATTCCTGCGGTAGTGTGGCAGAAATTTAATCTATTTCGTTACCACCCTTCTAAACAGCACGTTTTAAACATAAAACTTTTTATATAAAAATATGCCATATTCTTTAATCCACAACTTTATTTAATATCATGACCGAATTTAAGTAGCAAGCAGTAATAGTGGGCAACCCTGATATAGTCTTAATATGCCATAAAAATCTTACGTGCATATGCCATTGTGAATCATACTCCCTTAAATTTTAGGACACAAACTTTTGTGATCCCTCTATTTCTTTTATATCTCTCATAATTTCAATTTAAATTTAAAAATAATTTTAATTATTATTGAACGATGCTGCCGAGAGCTGTGCGTTTATTACAGAAATTGAAAAGAAATTAAATATCAATTATGGTTTGCGATCAATAATACGACAACGATTGTTTGCACTATAGCTTCAAACTAATACTCTTTAAAAATGCATATTATACTTGTACGTGATTAAGCTGTTCAAACAAATCAGTAATCAGTAAAAATTTGTAGATAATCATTGAATCATTAATTGGAAGGCACCTTTCAAACTTTGGTTATTTTAATAATACCGTATTTTTTTAATAGCACATCGCCAAGTCAGTACTGAACAACGATAAATCTCTATATTTTTTACATTTGTGTAAATATCTTTGCTACCTACTGGAATTCACCTGTTCATTTTCTCACTTATTTAGTTCTAGAACATTTTAAAGTGTGGTTTCAAATTCACAAGCTAAGATGAATTTAACTGAGTTGATGCGCCAAAAAGGCATTAACACAAATAGTTTTGAATTTGTAACAGCAATGAGTATACTTGTAATCTCTTTGTCGTTGTGCCTTGTATGTGTTTATGATTCGGCCAATATCGAGTTAATTTTTTCCCATTACGTTCTTATACTTTCTGAATTCGCCATTGTATTTTACGTTTTCTCGTGTTTCTTCTTTGATCGTTCTCTTTTCTATCCCTTTATTTTTATCTCATTATACTTTTATTACGCGATCAGCAACTGGTTTGAGAACAGACAGGACAACCAAATACAAAGCCAACAAAAAAGTGGTAAGAAATTTAGATTTTTATTTTTTTAACAATTTTTTAAGCTAATCCAATTCTATAATCGTTTCCGTTGGATTCCTCTGGAGTTAATTGTTCGGCGTTCTGCTATTTACGGACATGTATGTATAAAAGCACATTGCATCCTAAGATTAAAACGAATAAAAAATAGTAATAATAGCCTTATGTAAATATAGGCACAGGGTGCCCCTGTAAATATTCTGGAAAAATTCCTTGGATTAAAACGACATGTCAAAATTCATATCTATTTTTATTGTAAATCCATGCGACTAAATTGCTAGCCAAGTTCAGCTATCTCGGAAAAAAACGTGAATCTCCAAATATTCACATTTTATTCCTACAGATTTGAAGTTAAATTATCATTTAGCCGATTTATAGGTACTTACATATCGTTAATCATCAACACAAATACAGCATGAACGTAAAAGGAAATATTATTAAATATAGTCTGTACAGGGTGTCCCACCGAGAACCGGCAAACTATAATTAGTAACGATCGATATCCGGCAAACTATAATTAGGAGAAATTTGAAAATTAGACAGTGCGCCGAAGTCATTGGGGCAAGCGGTCTAAAATATTTTCAAGATGGTCACATTTCCGGTTATACCGGAAGACGGTATGAACTTGCTTATTTTAATTTTAAATATTTTAAATTTTTAAATATATGTACTTCTTATTTTAAATATTTACCCCATATATTATTACATTTTTGATTTCTACTCCAAATTCTAAATATATTTAATGTATAATATCCTATACCTAAGTGCAACCGTTTTTGATATATTTGAAATCTTATGTAAAAAATGATAGTTGCAGCAGCTCGAAAAATTATTAATTTTTCCTATACTATATGAATATGCGCTATTTAAATTGCGTCGCATTTCTTGCTGGAAAGGACTTACTTTAATGGAATTTCGACAAAAGTTTGATCACTATTAATACAAAGTGTTAAAAAATAAACGTTGAGAAAACCGTCCTAACTAACCCACTGACCCAACACATTTTGAAAATCAAGTTGCCTTGTCTGTTTGCAGCCAATGGTAAAAAAACGCCGATTTCTGTCTACATTGTTTCAATTTGAATAGGAAGATGTCAGAAATGCAATATTAATTAGCTTACTGTTGAAAAAATCGGTCTGCTTTCAAACGCATGTCTCAAAGCTAGCCATGAAATGAAAAATTCGGTTCTAGTTCAATCGATACTTCTATTTCGTGCCATGTACAGTTACAGCTGTAGATTTCTCAATCGTTTATTAACACTTGTGCAATTTTATACTGATTACACTTATGGATTCAATCGACTGACTCACGATGAGATACATTTTATAGTTTTCCTGTTTGTCATACGTGCATGTCTACTTAAAGTACATAATAGGCATCATGGCGACTGCTGCCAAGTATACTATTGCAGTAGACAGAGACAGGTTCAGACAGCTGTTTTATATGTAGCCACGACTAACCTAAAAGTGATAGTGTAGACATGTAGTCATTTTATTACAAATGTTTTTATTTGGTGAATCGAACAATATAATAATAATAATAAATGTGATGCAAAAATTTTAATAATGGAAGTTGCTTCTGAAGCGATAGATTTCGATTTTGAAATTGTTTCTAATGATTCGCAGGTTACAAAACAGACTGAAGCAGCATATACCCAAGACTTAAGTGACCCACTAAGGCCCGGCTCGTGCATTGTACTGAGAGGGACTGTGCGACCTCAATGTAAAAGGTATGTGAACCTTTATTGACAAGCGATTAATGTAGTCAGACGGACGGCCAGCCAATCAGCTATCAGTTACTTCACTAAATGTAGAATAATGCCCTAATAGCAGACTTGCGATATTAGTTTATCTTTTCAAACAACTCAATTAGAAACCTAAAGTTACTACAGCATTTTCATATTGCATTCGAATTATTTATGGTTGCTATTATTTAAATGTTCACTTGTATTTATAGTCGTCGTCCTATTTTTTTTTAGTTTAGTCCCCGGTTAAAAATATTTAAAAATATTAAACCCTTAATTTAGGTACTTGAATTGTTAATCCGCATTTCCAAGCACAGTTTTTCATTATAAACCATATGGTGTTGTTAATGGGTGGATGTTGTGGTTAAGGGGATTTTCTGAGCCACGCTATTTTATTAAATTATTCTGTTATCCATTTCCATGTAGTTTCAGTATATTCATCTGTTCTTTGAATTGGAAGGATTAAAGCACTAACTGAAAAAACAATTTAAAAAAATGTATCTCAGAAATACTTGAGATATTTGCAAAATACAAAATTTAACTAATCATTAATTTGGCATTATACTATTTATACTCCATACACTTTTTGACTTTTTGACTACCAACATAAAAACAATTATGCACGAAATCTGTGTGATAAGTCGAATCTTTTTTGTTGTGTTTTGGGCATTGATATTACTGGAAGAGACATTCTGAGATGGTGCTGATGTAACTTGTATCTTGTATGTTTTTATTATGTGGAATTAAGTAAACTTCAAAATGATAAATAAAATGAGACACTAATTTTATACTGCCTAATTGTAAGATATAAAAAATTTATTTCCAGTTGATAATGTTGATGCTGATTTTCACTAAAATTTTTACTTTTGTACTTGTTAAGTTAAACATACTATATGAGGTATTCTGTTTACTTTGCAGATTTGCTGTAAATTTTCTTTATGTTCGAGGACATAAAACAGACATAGTTTTCCATTTTAATCCAAGACTAGCTTTAAGGTAAGGTAAGAATTAATCTACTGATTACTGTAACTTCTGTTTGTTAGCATATTTTTAATTACATTACAACAATCGTAAGTCAGTGTAAATGTTTTTGGTAACGTTTGACTACAATCGCCAGAGCCTAATCAATAAGTTTAATTTATACGAAATATATTCTCTATGAAATGTAATTGTTATTGTTAAATTTTGCATAAAATACATCTAAAAATAAATTTTCTACATTTACAAACCTGAATCAACACACTTTATTTATAGGTACATTGTTCGTAATTCTCGTTTTAACAATTCCTGGGGTGAAGAAGAATCAACTTCAGTTGAAAAGTTTCATTTAAACCGAAATAAAACATTCGAACTTCAAATTGTAACCACTGACCATGAGTTTTTGGTTGCTTTGGATGGACGGCATATTTGCGCTTATGTGTATAGGACGTCTTTGGAGAAAGTCAATAAAATCGAGGGTAAGTACTTGATGTTACATAGAATATGTCAGTTTAAATAAATTTACTATTAAATGAATTGGCAAAATAAAAATTAATATTTTTTTGTTGAATTTTACTTGAATCAATTTATTGCAGTCGAAGATATCGACGTGCAAGGGATAGAAGTATTTCAACAAATAAAAAGTTACCACTCAGGTTAGGAATGTTAAACCAATTTTTGACTTTCTTTGAAAGATGCTAACCATATGTAATGAGCTTTTTAGTTTGCATAACTAATGTGCTGTAATATTAACAAATTAAGATTATATCTTAATTATAATTAAAAATTGAAATGAGAAACGAATATTTAATTGAAATTTGCTATGAAAATATTATTAACTCACATCTCAACTATTATCATCCTATAATTCGCCTTCTATTACCTAATATTATCGGGCATTGTAATAATTGTGAAAATGTAAAATTAATTAGTTAACTAAAGGGGAGTCCCACTTTCTTCTGCTAATTAGTTTTGTGGTGCGTGGTCTGGTGAGTTCTTAAAAACATCTTTCCTATTTTGTTTGAAATATCTTCTTTTTTGTAAATATACCTAAACTTTTTAGAAATACAAAAGGCTGTAATCGTTAACCACTTTTTAATAAAATTTTCAAATGAAAGTAACTAAGTAATGTTTGTTAATTTTATTTTAATTAAATTGGCTTGACTTTTCATAAAGTGCGTACTGTGACCAAAAATATTGTAACAATCACTTTTTTGCTTTGTTTGCGGATACTAACCAAATATTAACGAATTGACCGTTCTCTCACATAAATCTTATTAAACGGATACGAAATACATTTTCATCGAAAATAACAGTCATGCCATTTTAACGTGGGTTGATTGATATCGATATAGATAGATATTGAAAACAAATCGATCAGGGAAGCAAATCTATATTGTGGCATAACATTAGTGAAATGATACTACTAAGTATATAAATGTACGAGTTTCTAAAGGGGGCATTTTTAGTACAAATAAATTTATTAGAAAACAATCTAATAACATTTTAGATTTATATTTGATTAAAATAAATATATGTATAGATACTAGGGCTCGGAATCAACTCTCCTGCAAATGAATATAAAATTACGTCTCTCCGTTCTGGTGATTCGCGTCATCAACTTTTGCGCGGTGTTACAATTAATGTGCTGACAAAAGCACTTTTTTATCCATTGCGGCTAGTTGCCAAAAATTATATGAGATAACGATTTTTCTTCTTGGAAAACGGTGAACGGAAAACGAACACTCGAATAACTAACGAATATTCGGGTATTCGAATATTCGAAAACTCGAATACTCGAATACTTGAATACTCAAATATTCGAATATTCGAATACTCAAATATTGGAATACTCGATTATTCAAATATTCGTTAGATATTCGAGTATGTATTTGAATAATTTAACTATTCGAATAAACCACTAAACAAATATTCGAATTTCAGACTTTTAAAAAGTTCGAGCCCTAATAGATACCACGTATGATACGTGGATGGTGTCATTTTTTAAATGTAAATTGCCACAAAAATATTATTTGATTGGTTAGTTATTATTTTATTTTTCTATTACTAGTTGACGGAGCAATTGATGTAGAAAGCCTAAATCAGCAACAAGTGGAGGCTTACCCATTGGTGTCTTCCCGACAAAACCCCTTTATGGTACCTATGGCTGCATCAGATGGCGATACATTCATAAACCAGCAACTGGTAATGATAATTGTAAAATGCAATTAATTAAGTACAGTTAATCCAAGAATTGTATTGAAGTGTTGGAAAATTTTTGTTTGTGTTTCTTAGGGGTTGTTCTATTTAAACTATTTTTTATTTAAAGTACCCTCTCAATTTTAAGCTCATAGTATGATTCTATACCTTTTAACTACTGATAGGGGGGCGTGCCTAAATTACATACAACGATTGGGGGGTGGGGGTTAATACGTTTTCTTATCGCGGTATTCGTGGTGACCGGGGGAAAATACATACCTTATGTAAGATTTTTATAGATTATTCATACTAGAAATATAAAAACAAAGCACTTATATTATAATTGATGACAGAGTTCTTAATCCAACAGAGGAAAGCTCGTGACCATTGATAGAAAAATCTCATGGATCCTTACATGGGGGGTAGAGCATTGAAAACTTGTCCGAATTTACTTTACGTAGACCGTGGATTACAAGTTTTCCAACTTGCAGGTGTTGTCGAAACTTCGAATTTTGTTTCCGATCATAACGAGTCGTGCCGAACCACGTGTTTACACAGTTCCATAAAAGAAGTGCCTCCTTCAGGGGCACGCGCAGGTCCCCAAGGGCTCCGGAAAGCCCCTGCTCAGTCAGTGCAGTTCCAGAACTAGTTCGCGAGTTCGTTGTTGGCATTGCCAGATTGAAATACCGGCAGTACTTCCTCCTACGTCACTCTACCAAAAATGGGCGACTCTTCCAGCGACGAAAGCCGCGATCGCTCTCCATTAAACTCAAACAGTGCAGGTACCTCTAGGAAAATGGGTAAGAACAAATCCCTCTCCGCAAAATTCCCAACCCGTGACCCTGACATAAAGACTCTCAGAGCAGAAATTAAAGCCATGCGGCTTCGAAACTCCAAACAGGACAACCGCATCAAGACCCAAGCTGCCCAAATTCAAGAGCTAACCCGGTTACTCACTTTGGAGTACCAAAAACACACCTCCCCACAAACTGCCCAGCCCCCCCAGACTACCCCCGTTCAGAAAGTGTCTGAAAAGATGGAAGTTGAGGAATCCCCGGCCCTGCCGACCAAGACCGCACTCAACTTCCCAAAAACTTCCAACGCGGCCCTCCACCATTACATGGTGCAGCACGCGGACGCCCCCGTACAAACCCCAAAACAAACCGCCCAAACTTCTGCCACCCCATCCCCGAAAGACTCTTCGGCCCCCAACTCTGAAAAACCAACCCAAAAAACAGCCATTCCGATCGTCATCCGCAACGTGGCTGAATGGACAAAAGTGCGAAACCTTCTCGCACAACACAACTGCGGATACACAAGC